TAGATAGATAGATAGATAGATGGATAGATGGATAGATGGATAGATGGATAGATGGATAGATGATAGATGGATGGATGGATGGATGGATGGATGGATGGATGGATGGATGGATGGATGGATGGATATCTGGAAGGGAGCATATGTTGTTCTAAAACTTTTAGCTACTTTTCTACAGTTATGATGCACTAATGCACCCCCACACCATCAGAGAGGCAGGCTTTTAAACTCTGTTAACAGGTCAGATGGTCCCTCTCCTTCTTAGTATGGAGGCAACAAAGAATGTCAATTTTTCATTTGTCTGACCACAACACAGTAAAAATTAACTTTGTTTCAGAGAAGGCAGCAGCCTTTCTGGATGACGTTCATGTATGGCTTCTTCTTTGCACAACAGAGCGTCAACCAGCATTTAAGAAAGGCACTGTGTACTGTGTTTACAGGCAATAAATTGTGTGTGTTCCTGAGCCCATGCATGGATGTACATAACAGAATCCGCTGTTTTTAAAGCAGTGCTGCGTGAGGGCCTGAATATCACGAGCGACCAACACTGACTTTCTGCTGGTCCTTTGAGCTCAGAGATTTCTACAGATTCACAATTTTTGGTACCACTTTACAATAAGGCTCCCCTTAAAGATGGCTGATAAATAATTTATAGATACATTATTAATTACTCTATAAACACTTTATAAATCATTAATAAAGGCTTATTATGCATTAATTAAGGGTGACAGAGAGACAAAACTGACAAGTTTCTTGCCAAATAGTGAGCCAGATCTGTTCACCTATATATTTCACCCCATTTTATGGGACCACATGAGTCCCATATAATGTTGCCCATTTCTGTCCCATCCCCAGTTAGCCCACATAAAAATGAACTGGGGCCTAGATATCCATGCCCAGGTTCAACCCATGGGTCAGCCCATGCTTACACCACTTGGGGTAAATACAGTTAGCCCACATGGGCTTCCCATGCTGGGCCCATTACACTAAAACCGCATGGGTCCCATATAATTTTGCCCATTTCTATTCTGTCCCATTCCAAGTTAGCCCACGTTAATGCTGAATAGGACTCATACATTTAGTCCCAACGGGCCAACAATATGGGTCCCATTATCAGTTAACCATATGGGCCTCATGCAGTTAGCCCAGATAAATCCCATGCCCACTCTTTACCCAAGTAGCCCACAATAACCCCACGTGGGGCCCACCTATGCATGCTGGCTGGGGAGTCGTTATATTAAACATTTCAGACTAAGTCATTACCTTATAAGCACAAAAAGCATTTATAAACCTTTTTTTTAGCATATAATGTTGTACTTTATCAATGCATTATACATATTTACAACTAATGTTATATACTAAAAAAATTAGGTTTACAAATACTTATTGTGCTTACAAGGTAGTAACTTAGTCTGAAATGTTAATATAACAACTCTAGATGAAATATATAGGTGAACAGATTTGGCTGACTATTTGGCAAGAAACTGGTCAGTTTGGTCTTTCTGTCACCTTTAATTAATGCATAAACAATTATTAATGATTTATAAAGAGTTTATAGAGGAATTAATAATGTATCTATAAACTATTTATTAGCCATCTATAAGGGGGACCTTATTGTAAAGTGGTACCCAATTTTTTTTATGTTATGGTCCAAAGAAAGCGGTGACATATTAAAAATCTTCATAATTTTCTTTTGAAGAACAATAATTTGAAAATGTTCTATTATTTTTTTAGACAGGTGAACTTCTGCCCATCTTTACATCTGAGAGATTCAGCCTCTAAAGTGTTTTTATTAATATCCAGTTCTCAATTACCTGTTGCCAATTAACCACATTTATTGCAAAATGTTCCTCCAGCTGTTTTTTTTAAATTCATATTACTTACCTTTACAACCTTTTGCTTCCCAACTTTCTTTGATAGTTTTTCTGCCTTAAAATTCAAAAATACTTTATTTTTTCTAAACATTGTATAGACAAGAAAAAAGGTTAAATCACGTCATCTGGACCAGTCCAAATGACGTGATTTAACCTTTTTTGTTGTTATCTACCTGAATGATTGAGCTTACAAACCTTTCAACATTGTATATACTTTTAGTTTAAACACTTAATACATTTACTAAGTTCCACTGTGAGTAGCATTTAGGTACATGCTGTTTGTAAAGCTTTGCATTATAATTTTATTTCCATTTGTGCTGTAAATAAAAATGAAACTCTTCCAACAAACCTGACTAGTCTTTTTCTGTGAAATGCCCATCCCTGTTACAGAACACCAGTCTTATAAACCTGGAAGCAAAGCTCGTGAACTCTTTCAACTGCACGTGGCATCGACACAAACTGCAACCAAATTGTTCATCAAGATCGCGCTCTGCCCACACATGAGAACCATTCATCTGAAAAACAAGTACGCCAGTGTTCCAAGACCGTAAAAACATTTCATTACAATGTAGTGTGCTTAATTTTCTCATTAGAGGGTGAGCTTTGACAGGGTGCTGGAGATGTGAAATGAAGCCCAACAGCCTGCTGAGCAGACGCAGCAGTCTGTCAAGGTCCAATTGGAAAAGCCAGATGAGCTGTCAGAAAGCGTGTGTGTGGGTGTGAGGGTGGATGGGGGAGTCCAGAGTGAGATAACGTGAGGTGTTTTATTTTCTGATTAGTAAGCTCTTACAGCTTCAGATGACAGAGACACAGAAGAAACGGTGTCAAAGACGTGAAGTCTCAGCAGCTTCCTGATAAAGAACAACCTGCAGTTGTTGTAAATTCAAGCTTGAATACTCACTAAGGCCTGAAACGATTTAATGAGAAATATTTTCCTGAGTCAAACAGATGGCTGCTGTACTATTAGCCGGAGCAACAGTGATGATCAAAGCCTGATTTAAAACGGTTTTGGCTCGATGAGTTTGTTCACACTCTCGCTGCTTGCAGGTGATTTTATTTCTTAATCCACGCAGTCATCCAGTTCCCATTCCTGCTTCGTCCTGTTCAGAGTCGCAATAAGATCAACTATCTCCGCTGTCATAAGGCAGGATACACCCTGGACATGAACACACAACGATGCATTCTCACACCCCACAATACATTACAGTAGTCCCTCACTACTTCGCAGTTCAATTTTCACAGACTCGCTCTTTCGCAGTTTTTCAAAATTAAATTATAAACTACACGAGAGAAAAAAACTGTACAGGACACATGACTGTCAACTACTATTACTCATGTGATTGGGACAGTATGGGATACTGTAAAAAGTTAACAAAAAAATAAAATACTTCAGACAGGCGCTGCCATTTTATAGTTTGCTCTCTATAAGCCTCCACTGTATCTCCGCTCATGAAGACTACATTTCCCAAAAGTCAACAGTGCTCTACCCAGAAGCCCTGTTGCCTTCTGCTGAAATACAAAGTTTTGATCTGATCGGACAAAGTTCAGTCCTTATTCATACAATGACTTTGGTGCCCAGCGGATGCAGAGAGCCGCACAGAATCCACCGGGAACCCGAGCAGAACCGGAGCAGAACCTGACCTCTAGACTCATGGGTGAACCCAAGAGCTGCTAGATGGCCCACAAGGACTCCCAAGTGGGCATGTGCCACCCATAGGTTCTGTGCTGTTTCCAGAGCCCACCAGGACCTTTTTCATCCAGACTTAGCCTCAGTCGACCACCTCCAGTCCCGTGCCGGCCACCTGAAGGTCCCCCCCCCCCCCCCCCTGCACCCTCAAAATGCACTTAGGTGCTCAAGCGCTGCACAGAACCAGACCAAAAACAGAGCAGAACCGTAACCTAACCCCCGTGATAAACGAGAGACTACTACACCACCATTTAACCTAAAATGCATCATTTCAGTCTGTTAGTTGGATAAAAGCTGCACGTGTAAGCTGAAATATTTGTTGACTGCATTTTACGAATGATAAATATGACACTCTCTGATGTTAAAGAGAGCCAGTGTATGAAAATGTATATTTCCAGTTAGGGCAAGTTGGTTTTGCTGTTTTTCGTAGTCCTTGTGCAAGGTGCAATCATGAAACAAGAGCTTCCGTCATACTTCATTATTTGTGCAAGTGCAATTTCATGCCAGAATGATCTCTGAAATTGCAATATGTCCCTGGAAGCTTTGCTCATAGGAAAACTTGAAGAGACACAAAATTACAGTCAAATATGACCATAAGGAGGCAAAAGTGCTTACTTTTCAGAGCACAGAAGGCGGCACAGATTTGTATGTATATAAATGTTATATATTTTTTTAAGAATCTCTTCTTCTTACCGATTGTGGTGATGACTGTCCCAGCAAAGAAAAAGGAGGAGCTGAGGTCCCATAGACTGGTTTGATTGGATAAATGTCCTGATGGATTCACTCCTCCTCGAACTGCTGTAACCACTTCCTGCAACAGAAAGAAAGAACAATCAGTGTCACTGAAGGCCACGTCTTTCAATGAGAAGGTTAAAATATGGGCAAAGAAACTACAGAACATCAACTTTCTTGGGAAATACAAGACAGTCGAGTTTAACGTTCAACTTAAGTCAATTAGGTGGTGTGGAAATGAGCAGCATCTGTCCCCTTTATTAAAAGATTTGCATTTTAAATTTCGTCTTCAACACAAAGAACTTGTCGAAGCTGCTGGGAGTGAAGCTTGGTGCGAAAATGTTCTGAAATACACGTGCACTGTTTGCTTGAGTAAACCTGAGTACAACCGGCAATTTTTTAAACAGGTTTAATAAACATAGAAACATCACCTTTTGTAATCACCAGTTCTCACAAGTAACAAAAATGTGTTCATTTTAGGGCCTATAACCTTTTTTGATCCTGCTGCCTTAAACAAATCATGTTTCCGTTTTAGTGAAATCTTGAATGTGGCATATTATGCAATTTCATGCAATTTCCCAAGATCTTGCGCAATCCATTAGTGCTCACAGTATGTTTTGACAATGATTCTCAGCTACTACCACACCCAGTTTAATTTCAATATCTGTAGAACTGACTTTGTTGTGGCCATAAAACCTGATGGTTACTATTATAAATATGCACATGCAGACAAAAGGCAAAGAAAAATGAAAAACATTATTAATATGTGACATATTGGAAACATCTTTTAACATGCTCATGTTACGTCAAGTGATTATTCCCACTGGATCAATTCAATTCAGTTTATTTATATAGCACCAAGTCCCACAGAAGTCATCCCATGGCACTGAATAGAAACATTCATCTAAAGTAATAAATTAGCACTATATATCTAAGGAGCAGAGTGCTTTGAGTTTAACTCCATCACAGAACTCTCATCTTGAGCAAGCATGAAGGTAAAAGTGGAAACGAAAAACTCCCTCATGAGGAAGAAACCTTTAGCAGAACCAGGCTCAAGACAAGCGTCCATCTGCTTTGACCAGCTGGATTTGGTAGGAACAGATGCACAATGGCGGGTCAAGAATCACATTAAGATAGTAATAGTATCAAATGAAAACAATTCAATTTTAACAAAGAAATAAGGTAAATGGTCCCTCCAGTAGTCTAAACCTATGGCAGCCTAACAAGCCAACTCTAACTATAGGATTTCTCAAAAGTAAAGTCTTAATCCCAGTCTTAAAACTGGACAATGTGTCAGCCTTGTGGACAAAAACTGGAAGTTGGTTCCACAAGAGAGGAGCCTGATAACTGAAAGATCTTCCTCCCATTCTGCTTTTGGAAACTCTAGGAATCACAAGTAAACCTGCAGTTTGACAGCAAAGCGCTCTGTTGGGAAAATATGGAACAATAAGCTCTAGAATATAAGATGGAGCTAGGTTGTTGAGAGCTTTGTAGTTAGAAGTAAGATTTTGAATTCAATTCTGAATTTGACAGGGAGCCAGTGGAGAGAAGCAAAAACTGGAGAGAGACGATCTCTCCCACTAACTCCAGTTAAGACTCTGGCAGCAGCATTTTGGATCAACCGAAGACTTTTTAAAGAAGTAGTCCAGTCTAGATGTTATTATTTGTTTTGTTTTTATTTCTAAAAGTTAAATAAACAACATATACATTAATATTGCAGCAAAGAATTATTTGAAGCTTATTTAAATACAATACAGCGTTTGAACCAAAAAAAGATATTTATGTGTGTGTGACACTAGGAAGATGTAAATCTGTGTCCAGTGAACTTATCTGAAATATCTCATTGAAGTTCCAAAACAACAACCAGCTAAGTGCTTTAGGAAAAGATTGATTCCTTTGAACGTGCAACCAATTTGATCTCCCGCATTTATCTTTCTGCTGACCCTGAACATATTGTGAGATATTTTAAGCAGTAACACAAAAGGTTATTTGTCTGAAGTGATCTCCACAGAATCATTACTGAGACGAATAAAAGAGAAAAGCTGTGAGCTGCAGGGAAGGCTTGAGAGCCGATCATAATAAATTGCAGGAAAACACCTTTAAGTATTTCTCCTCCTGGGTGTTTCTTCTGATAAAAGCTTCGGTTCTTGTGTGGCTTATTTGAATAAAAGATTGTTATCAGTGTTGAACAGATGCATTAATATCTATGTTTATCCTTGTTGTGACTGAACCTTCTAATTTAGAGTAGCGATGCTTCAATAATGATGTTTATGCAAATAAAAAAAGGATAAAATCACAAAAATGTCAGAGTGCTGCTTCTGTGGTTTAATTAGAAGCAGGTAAGACAAGAAAGCAAAGGGGAGTGAGTGAAGGGCTAAATAAACAAAACTAAGGACCAGATATTGAGGGAGCATGGTCTGATGCTATGATGCAAGACTTAAAACAAGTTGATGAAAACAAAGTGGGGAAATAACAATCCAAACACAAACTGCTGACCTGCACAATGTGCTCTGATTGTGGGAACTTTAGCCACCGGTCTGTCTCCAAATGTTTGCTGTTTTAAAATTAAAACATTCCTTCAAATCTTTGAATCTTTCTTAGTTCCTATCTTAGATGTTATCATTGTTTTACTTTTACATTTTATTGTTGGATGTAACTGGGACCCTGTGTACATAATTTCGCTCCACCACATGTACCACATGAGGTGCGAATGACAATAAAGAAACTCTGACTCTGAAGTAAGGTTCTACTGAGAAGTTATGAATACATATTATCTTACCTGTTGCAGATGGCTTTTTGATAGCTCTAATGTCAAAAGTATCACAGCGGTTTGTGTAAAAACTAAATTTCGAACCTTTACGCTGCCATTAATTTGATGTTTTTCTGACAAAAATTAGATTTTACTCATTTCACAGCTGCTGCTATATGTGCTGTATAAAACAGAAAATGATATAGTACAAAAAAACTAAAAGTTGCAAAACCTGAAACTAAATGACATTACATTACAAATACATTTTTTTCTCTCTCTGTGTGTGCTCTGGTGAAGACAAACGTAACTCTACCGTCTCTCCTCATGTTTTCTTCCATTTTCTCATCTAAGCAAAATATTATTCTGAGGAAGAATAAAAAGGCTGTGCTAATTAGCAGCAGCTTTGTGCACTACGTCCATCTTTCGGACGACTGTACATAAATGTTCTAGTTGTATCTTGGTGCAATGATAATAAAGCTTATTCTGATTCTGATTAGATCAACAGATGTCAAAATGATCAAAATAGCTACTAAAGTATCAAAACAGATGGTTTATCTATAATTAGCAAAACAGTAGCTTAAATGAACTAAACAGATGCTAAATTGAACAAAGCAATAACTAACAGTAAGAACACATTATAAACCAAAAATTTGCTAAACTAGCTCAATTTAGCAAAACTGTAGTTAAAACAGCAGAACTGTCGCTTAAATTCAACAAAAAGCCAAAAGTTGCAAATAGGTAGCTAAAAGCAACAAAATGGGAACATAAATTAGCAAAATTATAGCTAAAAGCTAAAAGTAGCATTAGAAGACAAGTATAGAACAAGTTTCCCAAAGCTTAATGTATTTCAGTAGTGAGGTTTAATTAAAAAAAGGTAAAGATTTGGAAAAGTATAGAAGGTGCAAAAAAACAAAAAAAAATCATAGTATCTCATTTACCATCAAGCGTAACATATCGATATATAAATGGGTAAAAAAGCACAAAGTATGTGGAAGTTGTTTGATTACAAAAAAAATACACAGAACATATAAACAGGAAAATCACAATGACAGTATTCACACAGTAAATGCTAATGCTAAATTAATGACATGTATAAAGCAGTAGTTCTCAAACTGGGGTCCCTGGAGCTCCGGGGGTCCTCGAACCAGAGCTTGGGGTTCCAAGACATAATTTACTTTTTTTTAGCTAAGTCAAATTTTTTTTAAAGTGCATAAATACAAATGGGGACCAATGCATTAATCAAACAAACAGTAAACTAATTACTCCCGCCTACCTCGGCTTTGAGCCAATAAAGCCTCGGATGTTATGACTCATGTCATAAAACTGTCACTCATCAATATGAAGCTAATTCCCTGGGATGGAAGCATTTTGGAGGACTTGCTGTTCTGCTAGGCGGTGTAAGGCAGGACACCACGTGAAGAACTTCTCAAACTTTTGGATGCGTTCATGTCTGAAGCCAAACTGAGGTGGAAAAATGTGTTTTTTGTACGGACGGTGCCGCTGCAATGACCCGTCAAAAGAGTTGGGCCCAGATTGTCTGTCAGTCCAACGATTATTACAACTCACTGTATGCTGCATCGACAAGCTCTCACTTCCAGAGTCACTGAACCAGATCTTCACTCTGCTTTGAACACAGCTGTGCTGGACATGACGCGCTGCTGTATCACACTGAAGTGCAATGCGACTCTCTCGTGGTAACGTATTTGAGCTAAGCAGAGAAATGGCAGAGTTTAAAACTGAGGAAAAACCAGACATTGCACACGTTTTACTAACAGAGTATGTGGCAAAGTTGGCATATCTTGCTGACATATTTAATTTACCGAATAGCCACAACCTCTCCATCCAAGGAGGTCACACATCTATTCTGGAAGTCAGCAATAAAATCACAACCTTTGAGATGGAGTAGGAGGACACATGATTTAATAACAGACATGTTCCCCCAAATGACTGAGTTTCTTCGCACTAAGAACTTGTCTGTGGTTGCAGTGAGGGAGGTCATCACCTCACACGGCTGAGCAAGCACTTCACCACATTTCAGATGTAAACACCGATGCCTGGAAGTGGGTGTGTGATCCATTTGCAGCAGCAGCAACAGCAAATGGTCTGATGGGTAAGTCAGAAGAGCAACTCCTAGATCGGACATTAAAGTCTCAATTTCAGCAGGTTAATCATGTAAGCTTTTGGGTTGCCCTGTCACGAGGATCCTGAACTCACTGCTGAGGCCATGCAGATACTGCTCTCCTTCCCTACCACATACCTTTGGGAATCATCTTTTTCAACTTTGACTACAAAAAAAACAAGTCCAAGGCTCATTTACAAGTAAAAGATGA